AAACTGAAAACTGACCGGTTTAGTTAAGACACCAAACATTCTTGTGAGGATAAAGATGTTTGTATTTTTTATTCATTCTCTTGTGTTTGCTTGTTTTAATTTTCTCTTTAATATGTCCTATTCTTGCAATTTCGTGAGGATACATAGTTTTGTCCTGTTGGAAATTAACGGACCATTTATTATTATTAATATGCAAATTGGAAAATTTTGTGCATATGACACAGTTGCACTGAATGACATTTTAGCTATTAAAAGAGCTAAAAGGTAGTTATTGTCAGTAAGAATTTTTTTTTTTACAACTCAAACAAATACAGACGAGCAACCGCACAGTTTTTCTGTGATAATTCTGTGTTTGTATCTCTCGTGATGAAAATTGGACTCGGGACCTCTTGCACACTAGGCAAGAGATTTACCAAATGAGATAAGGTTTAATCCACAAGTTATCGCTAGTAAGAAACTTTTCAACAACTAAAATTAACGCAAACTTAAATCTTATTTCAGCCATCTAAGGATTTTAAGGGTTTTCTTTCCAAGTAAAATGTCAAACGATGGTTGCATACAATATTATAGGATGAAGTGATTTAATTACTGAAAAAAAGACATTTAAAAAGGATTTGCTATACTGTGATGACAGGTTGACCATAAAATAAGTTTTACAAGGTTTAAAAAAGGTATGAATCCATATCAAGCCAAAAAAGCATATAAGAGCCGCACAAGTGAATGATAATTGTAACCCCCCACCCCGCTGAGATACCAACCTATTGCAGCTCAATCCCCAGCATTAACTGGTATCCATTTTATTGCTGGGTAGACTAAGCTAATTGGGATAAAGTGTCCTACCTAACTGTGCACAAGCAAGATGCGGGGAGCCACGAACCCATAACCTTTTGACTGACTATGAGTCAAAGCACTAACCACTATACCATGATGTTCCCCCTTCTGCATAGAATAGTCCTACAGTGGCTCAGCGGTAAATATGAGGGCTTATTACACTAAAAACTGTGGTTCGATACACGCGGTGGACCAAGCACAGAGTGCCCACTGTGTAGCTTTGCGCTAAAATAACAATAACGTTTTGCTCCCCACCCTCTCCTCTGGCTAAGCTATAAGTCAGAAGAATTATAACATCAAAACTCGGTTTTACATACCTACACGGGACAGAGCACAGATAATTAACTGAGTAGCTTTGCGCTTGACAACAAACAAGCAAGCATAGAATAACTATTTAATCTTCTTTGTGGCCCCCTTTTTCCCAATGGCTTTTTCATAGTATATTTAATAATGCACTGGTCGCGGGTGTAACACTTTCAAATATTAGAACACAAAATTATCCTTATTCGGATATATTAAATTTTTTTTTGTTTCTTCAAAATTACATTCATATCGATATAAAACTTCAGCTATGCTTTATGTTAAGCACAACCCTATGAATTCCTTAATTCTAGTTGAAAGTCAGTGTTGAACCCCTTGTTTCTCTATACCCGGTTTGTCTGAGTTTCCATTCCTCTTTGTTGAAAGGTGTTGGTTTTTGAAAGTTCAGTTGAGTGAATGAGAACGTAGCTAGTTCTCAATTAAATTAAAATGTCCTTTGGTCAGATGAAGGTTAAAATGAAGAGATGGAAATGTCTGAAAAATTTGGAATTGAATATTTGAAGTACAGCCAAACTTTCTTCTCACTTTTTTATGTACCGGACTACAGATAAAGCATCAAGAGCAACCAGAACTTGTGAAAGTAACCAGAAGTTAAAAAAGTAGCTGTTGTAAAGAGAGTAGGGATAATCCTTTGCAACACGAGTTTTTTGTTGTACACGCCATTTGTTTTTTATTTGAAGTCAAACTGTTTCTTATTAAATTTCGTTTAGTAGATTCAATCTCCCAGTTTCGCTGCTCAATACTTACATGTTGAATATCAGTGAACCTGAATCATGAACCACGGTAGTAGTTCGTAATAGGGATCGCCCATTGGTTCTACTTTTTATTATTAAAAAGACTAGAAGAAGCCTTCTCCTAGACCATGAGCTTTTGCCAGCTATGTCTTCATGATTAATTGACTGAAAAATGGTTAGGGAAAACCCTGGCTATGCTACTAACTCTCAATTTCTATTAGTTATCTCCACGTACAACAGCAAATGGTGGTAGGCAAGATGATTCATGGAGATACTGACGAAAATGAATACCTCAACACTCACTGGGATGAGCTCTATGTGACTCATAGGTATTTATAATCTAGTTCAGGCACTGAGTCACCACTGACTAAGAAGGTGTGACTGTTGAATGAAGTTCACTGTGAAGAGCTGTTAAACTGCAAGATGAAACAACCAGTGTCTTGCCATAATACTTTGGATCCTTGAGCAGCCAGGAGTTTTCCTGGCCAGTAAAACATAGTAACGATGATGAAGGCCACGCCTGACAGTTGAAGTGAGTGCAGAATGTGGTAATAATGAGTATCAGTTAGTATCACAGCATTCTATTTCAGACTTCATCTGTGGGCATTATACTATCCAGGATATGCAAACCTCCAGACATTTTGAGGAAGATAAGAGCCTCCTTGAATGTGACAGCATCTCAGAAATTCTATGTCAGGGAAGTTAGTAACAGGTACTTGCTTACACCACCATTTAATCATGGAATGGATGTGAAAGATGTGAGGTTGCCAGCGTTGAAGGGGTAGTAGTGAAGGCGGGTTGAAGCATTTATTTTTTGTTGAGTTTATGCCTGAAGTACTTCCTTTTCCATTTAACTCTCTCTCTCTGGTTCTGAAAGTTTGTAAATCATAATGATGGAGGATCTCTTTCTGAGACTATGAAAAATTAGGAGGTATGGTTAAGCGAAGTAAACAATTGGAGAGTGTAGTAAGGACTAAGATTCATGGCCCATATTTATTTTATTATATTTTATTTCTAAAGTGCTTTTTTCCATTTCACTCTGGTTCTGAAAACTCGCAAATAACAACAGTAGAGGACCTCTTTCTGAGACCATTAAGAAGGAGGAGCTGTGATTGAGGAAAGAATAAGTGTAAGAGTGTACTAGAAGAAGTCTTCTGTGAAGAATGGTGGTTTCAGCGTGATGAAAGAAGAAATATTTTTCTAGAAGAGTTAATCCAGGATTGTGGGATACCCTAATAGGCCTGTTATCTGACTTGGAAATGTATTGTCATCATTACTTGTACTCCTGTCTTTGTCTTATTGAGGTATGCTTTCTCTCTAGCTCCAGCAGCTTTAAAGCTCTATTTAATGAATATTTAAGGTAATAGGTTTATTGAAGACACCTGGATATTCTTGTGAGAATAAATACTTTATGTTTTTTTATTGATTATCTTCCATTGTTCTCTTGTTCCTTTGCTGTTTATATTAATTTCACTCTCTACTTAATATTTTCAAAACATGCAGTGTATTGCAGATACTTATGGTTCTTCTGTTGGAAATACGTTTCTCTGAATATCACCAACTAAGTTATTAAATTGAATTTGATTTCATGACCAGGTGAGATTCATATTAAAAAGCTGCTAATAAATTGCTTTTACTTCTATAAAAACGTTATTTGTTAGAAACACTTACTAGCTAACTCTAATTTAACTTATTTTTATATGGCTAAAATTGTTTCCTAAACAATGGAGAATGTTACAAACAATAAGCCACGCTCATCACTATACGTTAAACTTCCTTCCTGCTAAAAACAACAGTATAATTGTCCATAAATGTTTAGATTAAAAACAGTATTCATTTCAAGATGTGGTACAGAGACTTACTTCTACAACTTATTCTAAGTTGGGGTTGAACTCTTTTGGAAATGTATAATGATAATGATTGTTGATTTAAGTAATCTAAGATTAAAAACATAGACTGCAACAGTATCCATTTCAAAAAATGCTACAGAGGTTTTTATAAGTTAATATAAGTTGGAGCTTTAACTCCCTTGCAAATATATAATGATAAAGATTGTTAATTTTGAAAGTAGCACTACTCTAATTACTCTTTTTCTTTACAAATAATGCTCAATTGGTTCTTTACAACCTACAAAGCAAGGAAGAATCACAATAGTTTACATTCCAATAAATATAAAAGAGCTGTATCAAACTATTAATAAAAAAACATAAATAAAATTTAAAAAAATGACCCACTATAATAATTTATAATACTAACCATAAATTATGAATAATCAAACTGTGTAACATCACACACTGTATCGTAAACCAAACCATTCCCTAAGTTTATACCTCTAATAATAATTTTTTCAGTCCAAGTGCAAATTTCCATGTAGGCTTAGAAAGCTTAAATATGCATGCACCCACTTATAATAAACTTTGTATTTCTACTCTTTTTCATGGCATCAATTATAAAATTAACAAACTACCACAATGAAACCTTCAAATCCCTAAAAAGTCTGAACGTGAGTCAAGTATCTTCTAAGAAAAACAAGCTCAAAATTTTAAGCCTCTTTTTGTAGTGTAAATCATTGTAATCAATATACTCCTTTATAGTTAAAAATTAACATTATGAACACCCCTTTATCTTAAAAACTACACTAATACCTCAATTACACTTTAAAAAGTTATTAATTTCTAAATTTTATTGGGTTCAAAAACATAAATAACACTAAAATTGCATTTACCTTTTAATTTTTAAGGCCCAAGAGAGCATTCAAAATAAAAGTACATTTTAAAATTAATCTTATTTTGTTACATGAACAATCAGTATTTTCTGTTACATTTTTTTATATTATAATTAAAATTATCTTTTGATCAGAGGAAGCTACATACTTAGACCCAAACTGAAAAGCAGCCTGGTAATCACTATAGCTAATTAAATACACTTTCCATATGTTTCTACTTATAAAGATTAGAATGCACTGTTTCATCAGTTGGGTACCTTTGCTGTAAGTGATATTTTCAGCCATAATCCCAATAATATCTCACATTTTCGAAGTATATAACTTTCAACAATATAAAAATAAAAATGAAACTATATTGCCACACACTTCTTTATAACTCAAGAATTTACCTCAAGATCTCCTTCTCCTTCCTGATCCAAGCCCATATCTTCATCCCATCCTTGCTCATTGTCATCTTCATAGTCATCGTCCATGGTACTATAACATGGCAAAAAAGGAAGAAAATAATTCACTTTGCATAAAATGTTCTTAAGATTCAAAACTTAACAGTATAAGATATGGAACATTGTTTCTCAGAAAACAACTGTATGCATTCTTTGCATTAGGAAAGATTTTTCATGCAGCAAGGAATCCTTGCAGAAATCTAAACTTGTTTAAAACTTTAACTGTATTTTTGTGAACATTATAAAAACTGTTTTTTTACTGAATAGTGAAGGCCAACACTTTACTGTGATTACAGGGAGGGTGCGGACGAGTGACTTATCCACCATTATGCCAAGATCTTTTTCTTTAGTTATGTTACTAAACATAACAGTCTAAAAACAACAAGTTATGGTAACAACAGTGCACTATCTTGCATTTATTATAATTAAATGTCATTTGTCTAATATCTGTCCAACTAGCCAATTGATCTAACTCCAATAGTTGTACCTCAACATCTTCAATGCAGCTAGAGACACCTAAGAGTTAAATGTCATCTGTAAACTTCACTAATGATGCTCTTATCAACATTATTAATGAAAAGTAACAAAAAGCAAGTTTCATACCACAATAATGAATTATAAACCAAATCCAGTGCTTAATTCTGATACTTGTTTTGGATATTTTTTACAATTTTCATTTAAAGCCAAAAACATTATAATTAATTTTAAGATGTCTCAGTTGCACTGGAATATATATTTAACTGACAATCAACTACATTACTTCCCTCCATCCTTATCCCAAAGAGTAGCCTTAATAACAATTAAATTATCTTCCAGTATTCAAATTCTCTCCACACCCATCAACAAAGACCTGGTACTCTTTTTGGGATTTAAGGACTGACCAACACATTAAAAACTTGTCATTGTGATTTTTTTAAAAATAAAAATCAAGTTAACTGCAGCTAACTTGAGTTTTGAAGTAATTTTGACCCATTGATTTCCAATAGTTTGATAGTTTTTGGCATTTGAATCATTATAGGTTTTTGTTTTCTTATGTATTGATTTGCAACATTATGTACTTGCAGTCACTTTACCATAAAGAATTAACTTCATTAATTTACGCTACTTATCAATAGGGGCAGTTTACTTTTGATCAGATATCAATGATACAGCAATTCATAAAAGCATTCTGATTTTCCAATCTATCTCAAGTTTCCATTCTTCCACAAATGTAAGATAAGAATAGGATACTTCAGCATATCAAAATATACCTTGAGAAAAATTTCAACTCTACCAGTTAAATTTAACATCAGAGGCTCTAAGTGATTTAGTTTTTAGAATAACTGACAAACACATATTGTGGTTTGTTGTGCAGAACTCTGTTCAAATTTTATCCTTGTTGCATTTAATTATAAAGACTCTCTGATCAACACTTAATTGATGCTGAGAAATTTAATTAATTAATTAAGGCCTATTGATCAGTGAAATAATAATCCTTGTCTGGAAAAGTCAGCAAAAGTTTGACATCTCTTTACTACAACTCAATGACAGAAGTCTTTACTGCAAGATAATAATTCCAAATTATTTTGAGAGCTACATTTGAATCATTAAACTATCCACTACAAGTATATTATATTACTAGTGAAAAAAAGCTAAAAAAAGAAGTTATTTACTTCGTGTTATTGCCTTTTATTACTTAACTCTTTCTGTAGACTGACAATTTGCCATTTGATATTTTTCTTATATTGCATATAATAATGTAATTAAAATAACACATATAGCAAACAGTTGAAAAATATATTGGATAATTCTTGGAGATTTTCAACATTTTCCTTCGAGGACAAAGATTTTATTTTGCAAATTTTAGAATAAAAAAAATTAGCCAGGGCATGATACATTTATGAATGAATCAAAAAATGCTACACTGCTTTAATAATCATAAAGTAGGGGTTCTTTAAAACGTGATAAAGTCCACAACTTTTATTTTTAATTTAACGGGAGCCTACACATACTAAATACATATATGTTTACACTCTTATACCTAAATTATACAATCCGCTTGTTATATTAGATATATCTGCTGTATCGCTACAATAAAAGGTATATAACATAAAAACCTAGAGATAGACCTTAGATATGCCAATAATACATTGTCAAATGTATTTATGATACTCTAATTTATTTCTTTAAAACAAACAAAAAGAATTCAATAAAATAATGAACAACTGATACACAATGATAAAACTTACTGATACACAAATTATGACCCTGTGACATTACTTGAATTTAAAAACTAGCCGATTCTGTAACAATAATTCGAATTAAGAAACTAGTCCAAGAAAAATTAAGCAGCCTGTTGATCTGTAGTCAAATAACTAGTACTACTTTCTAACTTCTATTTGCCAGCAACATACATAACAAACATAGTAATTTCAGATCACTGTTGACTTCATGTTACTGATTTTTAAAACAAAAGTACAACTACACAAAAAAATGTAGTTTTAAGTAACATGCCACAACCACAAATCACTAAATATTAATTTCATAATAATCTAAATTAAGGTGTTAAAAGCAACAGAAATAATGATACTATTAAAAGAAGCAAACTATATCATACGCTACATACAAAATTAGAAATAGATCTAATCTTACAAATCAAAATATACAGTAACTAACAGTAACACCAATAATAAATTAATATTTTATGGCAATACCGGGCTTTAAATTTTAAAACACTGAATTGCTAATGTTGTTACAGCAAAAGGTGTATTTAACAAACACAAAACAGTTTAATATTAGTTTCGCTTAGTAAGCAATTTTGAAAATACTTTCTCTTTATAAATTAAGTTTTTTTTTATTTTGAGTAATAAGCACTGAAAATTATAATAATAATAACATACATTAATAATATTCTTAGTATATATATATATATGTGTGTGTGTGTGTGGTTAATTTTACTTATTTATAGTTATATATATATAGAGAGAAATAACATATGGTTCTTCATTCAACAAAAATTCATTAAAATCGGTTATAGTTTATAATTATAGAGCTAATTTACTTAATGATGTTAATCTAATGTAACAATATTAAATTCAATAACGTCAAAATTTTAACACTATAGCAACAGTAATAAAGTACAGGAATTAACTTGTTAATGTTAGTATTACTACAAATAATACTATTATTATTAATGAGTAATGACGTCAAGACATAGGAACTTGGACACCAAATAGGCTAAGCAATTAGTATCATGAACATGACACTACTACTCAGTACTAGTCTAAATTCATATTTCACTAGTAAGTTGGACCAGATAGCATTTACTAGTAATATATATATATACAGTACCGAGTTTTCTTTAGTTCAACTGTGGTAAAACTGGAAACTTTTTAAGCTTTATTATTTTACAACGTGGCAGTTCGAGTTTTAATGTTACTGTTAAGTTTTATTTCGTAAACGTATAAGTTACCATTACCAGGCCTAGGCCCTGAGCAAGTGTAAAATGTCTTAATTCAGAAACAGTGAAACGCAAATCACCCAAAATTAAATTTTATTCACCTTTTGATATGGCAGAAAACAAAAGATCTTCCTATCACTTATACAGTCAAGTCAAACAAAACAACTTTTAGTTAAAAATATGTGGAATATGGAAATAAATTGGATATGTAGCATTCACAAAGCCAAAATAGTGATAAACAGTACTGCCAATAGTTCTCGATTGAAGTTCTTTTCTCTTCATATTTTCGCGTACCATCTTTCGTATAACTGTCGAAACGAATATAACCGTTTTGTTGTTTTATTTGCGCGCTTTTCTGTTTGCTATTACGTTTCATACAGAATAAAAACTGAATGTGATTATCTTTGTAGTTATCAATACTCAACTTATAAATTCATAAGTAAATATACTCCGAAAATTACATGTTTGTGAAATAAAGATTTAAAAATGTAAGCTATATATCTACAAATCCACTATAATATTTGTATATACACATACTTCAGAAACTAAACTAATAAATTAAAAAAACAGTAAAAAACACACAAAATATAATAAAATAAAATAAAAAAATACAATGTCGTGCGCATAAGTTAGTGAAAGTCCATAGTAAATAGTACAAACTGTCAGAAGTTTTAATATAAGAGAAACTAGTTTCAACATCTTCGTGCGTTCTCTTTCTGTGAGGACACACGAACGTGTCGAAACTAGTTTCTCAATTTCAAGACTTCTGACAGTTTGTTCCATTTACTTCAGGTCAGTGTTTCACAAATTACTATCATTGTGCGCCTAAGAATTGTCTAAAGTTTCCAAAGTATCACGAGTATGATTTAATGAATCGTGCTGTAAACAAGCCATTTTCGATAATTATCATATAAGTAACAACATATTTAAAAAAAAAATCTTCTCTCTAGTACTAAATCACTCCAGGTGAATTTTTTTAAATACTCTGTGTCATTATTTAACTTAAGTCATTTTTGAAATAACATATATTTGAAACTTGTATCTTATCACAATCTTTAAAATACTGGTACTCGTTTTCGTTGCTTGACCTAAAGCCACTTCATTCTTAAAACACGGGTCATGGAATTAGCAGTTTTCTCAATGTTAAGTTTATATTATAATACTTGCAATTTTTTTGTGAAATGTAAGGGGGCAAATGCCCTCTCTTGCCCTTTCCTGCTGACGCTCATGCACTAGTAATGTTTAACGGAAATTTACTCAACTGATAACAAGCCCTACACTGAGTGGTCACAAGTAAATAGACACCTAATTTTTCGTCATTTAACTGACTTATGCTAACTAATTTGTGTTCACAGAGCACTATATAAATGAAAATGGCCCGCACACTAATTATGTTATGCTACAACATGCCTAGAACTCAAGGTTCTCTGGAATTGTCAGATTTTGTTAGAGGAAGGATAGTTGGCCAAGCAGATGGTGGAATAAGTCAGCGGCAAATTTCGCAGAATTTGGGAATCCCGCTTTCGACAGTCAACAAAATCATCGTGCAGTTCAGGAAACACGGCAAGGAAACAACTGAGCAGCGTCCGGGTCGTCCTGGTCCATCGGAGAGGACAAAAAGGGCTGTCAAGAGGAGCATCGAAATGGATCCTAGATTAACGACTGCAGAAGAGGCCAAAGTTGGTGGGATGAGCCCGAAATCTGTTCAACGGATTCTCCATAGATTGGGTTATCGTTGCAGAGCAGCTAGTCGGAAGCCCTTATTAAGACCTGCCAACATAGTTAGACGAAAGAAATGGGCAAGTGATATGATGACCAAGCCTTTGGACTTTTGGAAGACTGTATTGTTCTCAGACGAATCAAGATTCGCTCAATTTTCGGACAGTGGAAGGATATGGGTCTGGAGAATGCCTCACCAACAGTTTTGGCTCAACAGATTGCAGCCAACTATGAAGCATGGTGGTTTCAACGTGATGTTTTGGGGAGCTGTTTGTGTTGGCGGGAGATCGAGCTTAGTGGAGTGCGTTGGCAACATAAATTTTGCGAAATACGTCGAAATAATGGAGGAAGGACTCTTGCCACTTTATTCCTCGGTTTTCTTGGACAAGAACACAACGTTGTTCCAGGAAGATGGATCACCGTGTCACAATGCTAAAAACACCCAAAAGTGGCAGGAAGAAGTTGCACTGGCCGAGCCAATCTCCTGACATGAATCCCATTGAAAACCTCTGGGCCATACTCGACCGGCAAGTCAAGAAACAACCAAAAAACCAACTTCGAAGAGCGATCTACTCCAAGTTTTGAAGCCTGTAACACCACAGCTTATATTATGCACTTTACAGGTGCCTGTTATTAGTAGTACTAATAAGTTGGCTACAGGTTTAATGTTGCACTGTAAAATATTGTTTTTGCTACTCAGCACATAAATCATTTGTCCAATGTATGGATATTGTGTCTTGTATAATGTCTAAATAAATGGCACTTGGAAACCCATGATGTCTCTGTTTTGTTGAGTTAGTATTTCAGAACAACCATTAGCAAAAAGTAGTGGTTTAAATCACTAATAGTCTCGGTTTATAAGTCATAAAATCTATACTATCTATCCATTCATCTGTTGTCACTGAATTGCTGTTTTCATTGACTTCATCCTCATTAATGTCTCTAATTTTTACTGGCTCCAATTTCTCTATTACTTACAGTCACAGTTGTCAGATATTACTTTTCATTCTGAACTCACCTTGTTGTCACTATTCAAGTCTTCATTTTGGGGTGTGATGAAAGATAAATTGCACAGCAACAAGTTTAGCTGTTAGGTGTGTTGAAAGGGTTCTTTGTTGTTTTTATAGTTTTTTTCTATATTTCTTAATATCAAGTAGTTCTATTTGCAAGTAGCTGTAGTAGATGAAGAGTTTAAAACTCACATAACTTTAGAGAAGTACTGCCAAAAGTCCTTTCTAACTGTTAAAGCGATGCCAGCCAACTTCCCTTTACAGCTCTGAATTCATTCAAAACAACTACATTGCTTAGTTACCTTAATTACATCTATGGCTTCTATCTCCTTGCCCTTCACCAACTCTTGACCTCTGTGCTTTGGGTTCAACACATAAGTTGCTAGTTGGGCAAGATTAAATCAAAAGGTTTGAAAGCTGGAAAATATTGTAATCAGTCATTGTTCTTTAGCTGCTGACAAGGGTGAGTGTTACAAAGTGCCTTCATAGCATTTTTTCATCATGAAGATAAGGTTTATCTCAGATGGCGTTGGTTTGTCACCTTTGTTTTGTGATAGCATGTGAGATTGGTTGCAGAATTCCACTAATTTGCACCCACAAAACATTATCATTTAGGATGATTTTTATAGCCATGAACAGTGTTGATGTTGTTTGACAAGAGAAAACAATTTCAGAGATCTTAACCTCTCCTTCTATAACAAGTCCTCCATCCCAGGCACCATCCTAGTAGTTCTCTGATGAACCCTTTCCAACAATTCATTGTCCTTCCTAAGGTAAGGAGCCCAAGATTAAACACAATACTCTAAATGTAGCTTAACCAGTGACCAATACAATGAAATTATATATATAACCACTTTAGACTCGTATTCAATATTTCTGTAAATACAAGCTATAAT